TATTATATATTTAATATATATATATATATCTATAATATATAACACTAATTATATTAAGGTCAAAATGACAAAATTTGTTGAAGAACCAAATTTTCACAACTTATTCCTAGGAGTATGAAATTGACAGTAAACTCCATGCACTAAAAATTTACACCCAAGGCTAATATACCTTAGTAATCCGTTAATAGTTTTGTGCAAGTATTAAACTTCCGTTGACATTGAAATAGAAAGATATATATATATATATATATATATAATATCTAATCCAACCAAGGTGTAATAATCATTTAGCCAAAATTTTATGTCATGTTCTATTCACAAACACAAACAGCATAGATGCAGTAAGGTTCTATATCTTAACTTATAATTATATAAGTATATAGGAGTATTATTATTATTGTAAATAAAATATTATTTAAAGTGACAATTAACTATATTAAGTAGTACGTATTAACTACTTATATAAGATTATAAGTAAAAATAAAATATATAAATTTAACTATAAAGTATTGCTTACTATTACTTATTAGGATTACTATATATAAATATTAACTTAAGACGATATAAGATTATGTTGCAAACAATATATATATATATAAGATTATGGGTAGTTAGTACTCTATTATTAGAGTTACCATTTTAACATAAAAATAAAGTTTCGTGGGCCAATGGGCCGTATCACGGGTCACCTGTGGACCCCCCAAGATTAGGCCAACAAGTTAATGGGCCGGTTTGCATCCCAAGCAGGTTACCAGCCCAATGGTGAGCCCCAAATCCCTATTCTTTTGACACCTTTGTAAAGGCCTGTTTGTTATGTGTTTTACTTTGGTGTTTTTGTTGCAGGGCTCAATTTCAGGCCCAAAAACATGTTTGGTAGCCCTTGTTATGTTTTAAACAGTACAAAAATATTATTTTAAACAGTACACAATTTTGGCCCAAAACTGAAACACCGAAATGGTGTTTTTGTTATTTCTGAACTGTAGCCCAATAAAAAGAACTGTAGCGCTTGAAGTAAGTTGGGTCTTGAACTGTAGCGGAGGAAGTAACTTTAAAATGTCGTCTGCAACACTTTGGCCCGATCTTTTCTCTCTCCTCTGAAACCTAGAGAAGGCGATTTGGGAGGCGAAAGGGAATCTGAAACCCTAGAGAAGGCGATTTGGGAGGCGAAGGGGAATCGCAAGCACGAAGTCTTTGAAAAGCACAAAATCGGAAACACGAACTGTGGTAAGTACTCTCTCTTCTATTTCTATCCTCTTTAAACACTCTGTCTTCGATTTAGTTGTGAAACAAGAAGACTGTGCTTCTCATGTAAGAGTGCTTGACACAGTCAATGTTAGAAAAACTGGTTTTGCTTGTTCTTTCCCGAGTTTGTTTACATGCGTTCACTAGGATATTTTTAGCAGTGTAGAACATTGTAGGAAGCATTGTTTCAATTATTTTTGGGGCAATAAGCTTGTGACCTACGAAGCTATATCCCTTGTATTTTTGTAGGTTGAATATATAATATATATATATATATATTTAACTTCGTCAATGACATATTTCTATGTAGCGGTGAGAAGTTGCTTGATGTCAACTGGTCTGAATTTCTAGAAGTTAAAGGGAAAGTAAGATTAGAGGCTTTTGAAAAATATATACAAGATCTTCCTCGCTCACGCAATCGGGGATTGATGGTAAGATATTTTCTTCTTTCTTCTGCGTATCATAATGAAATAGACTATTTAAATCATAACCAAGTGCATGAATAAACCATATGCAAGATATTTTCCTATGCAATTGATATTGGAAATGAAAAATTACCTTGAGGCTACTAGAATTGGGCTTATAATGCATATCACTCGACCCATAAAAAGAGAAATATTCAGATATATGCTAGAATTTTGGTGATGAACACAAAAGCTGCATTATTAAATTTTTTGCTTCACTTGGACATCATAGAATTCAGGAAAATTGTTTACATCCTTTCTTGGCATTTGCTTCATTGGCATAATTTTGAGGAATGCTTTGTTTTCAGTTGCAGCATTTTATAATTTCTTTACTTATGATCTTAGATGTGTTAACTTAAATGTGGTTACTTTTTAATATTTGGGGGATAATTTGTTTTTGAATTATGTTTTTCTAAAGAAAATTTTGTTCATAAAACATGGTCACATGACTCCGCACCTTTAGACATGGTCACTTCTCTAATACTCGTTGGACACGTGACCCTCGCACCTTAGACATGGTCACCATGGCCTACGAGGGTTGGTGCTTGCCATAATAGCATCCATTTCTTTATCTTTTAAGAATAGAAAATGAAAAGGACTATAGTTTGAAGGATAATTACCTAATAAACTAGGGGATGAATTTATAGATGACCTTTAAATGGCTCTTAATCAATAAGAAAATCTCTGGAACACCTTATGAAAAAAAAAAAAAAAAAAAAAAAAAAAAAAAAGGTAAAATAGGCCCTTTCGCCCTAGCAACCAAAAGAGATGCCTTGTTTTAATCAATACTTTGCAACACTTCCATGTCAAGGGGACATGGAATGAACTCCTTGGTATCTAATTCAAAAAAAGGATATATGTTCACATTGGTCATGACAAAAGTTGTACATTGGTTTTCAAGCTAGAATAAGTTGTGTGGAGTCCCTATCTTGTTTTGTTGTGTGGATTATTTGTCCTGTTTATTTTCATTTGGAACATGTAACAGTATACACACACACACACACACACATATATATGTATATATATTTTAATCAATTTATGCTCTTCTATATCGACCCTCATTGTCTTTCAATAAGCGTTCCCATTAGTTTCCTTCCAAGTTCTGTACTTAAACAAATTTTGAACAAAACACCCTATGCTCGTGATATCTGCTCAAGATGTTAAGTATATGCACGAAGCATTCCAAGGCACAAAGTGAGTAATGCATTTCTAATTATGTTACTAGTAAAGGGGTATGTGCTTTGCACAAGGACATGGACCTCAATATAGATTTGTTATATGACATGATGATATGGTAATAATTATACTGTTTTCAAGTACCACTAGATACAAATTTAAGCAACAAAAAATAAAGCGCGTTCTTCTCTTTTTAACATTTTTTTTATCTTTATTTTCCTCGCCTCTCTTCTTTTCTTTTTTGTTATATTTTTTCATTCTTTTCGGCATTTAAATTCAAGTTTTTTCCCCTTCTTTTACCATTTCCAAACATTTTAAGTAAATACATATCAGAGGTCACATGAGATTGGCCATTGTAGCCACATGTAGTGCAACTTGTTAACAACAATATTTAAATCATACTGTTATGATTCAAGTCCCCACCTTTAAATTGAAGCCTTGTCTGTCTCGATGATCGAGAACAACTTTTAAAGGGATGGCAATGAACTTCTAAAATGAGATTGAATTGATATATGATGATCAAATCTGAAATGTAGATGCCAATGAACATCTAAAATGAGATTGAATTGAAGCCCAATGATTAAATCTGAAATGTATCATGAGGCGATGCCTTCTTTAAAAGCCCACCGTACGTTTCTTTGACAATTTACTACTGATTTATGCACACATGATCTAGAAGTTTATGCATAAGCCACCGATAAATTATTATATAACAATTACTAAGAATCAAATATTGATTAGATAGATTAATAGAACTCATTTATCAATTGAACTTAAAGGACTAAATAAGAGAGTTTACTGTGTACGCTTCCTTCCTTCACCCTTGAGATTGAACCAATTATAATATCTTAGGCATAGACATTTTTCTTATTCATATATATGCTATTAATTTATTTGAATCAGGGTATTTGCCCTTTCATCATTTTGTAACTGCTCTCTTGAAGTGACTAGTGACAAAAAAAAAAAAAAAAATTGAGTGAGCTGGTTTCACAATGTGGATGTAACAAAAAAAATTTAATTTAAGACGAGGACAAAACAAAAAAATATCTAATGCAAGGAAGTGTAATAAAACCTCACATGTTGAATCAGATTACATATTTATACTACATTTTTTACTAAATTTGAATGAAAAGACCACCATGATTTGTTGAATCAGAAAATTCTCTCTCAACATTGGGTAAGAGGTACCTTGTTGAAAGAATCTAATACGAAATTCCCCAAATTCTGCTCTATATGTTAATGTACACTTTGAATTTGCTATTGACAGAAATGTGCACATATGGATGTGGTAAATGGTGAACATAGAAATGTGAGATTAGTTATAATGCCAAAATGTGGCGTGCAGATTAGTTAGCGTACCTACTTGTGCTAGGAACAAACCTTTTTACTCAGAAGAATCTCAGTCAATTCGTTGGAAGGGGAAACATCCTTTAAGTTTCCTATGAAGTGGAAATTGACTGTTTTAATATTACTCTCACTAGGTGTCTTGTTCCTTAGAAACATCCAATTGATTCCCATGCAATGAAGGAAAAGAGTTTGAACAGACTTGTACTCCCTAACCTTTACATACAAATTTTAACATGTACAAATGATTATATTGTGGGTAATAGTGTCTGTGGTAGAATAACAGACTTGTTTTTGACTTGGACAAAGTTACTTTTCTTCTATTAGAAAGAGGTTCTTTGAAATGTCAATTTCATTCTTTTGTTTGACCTATATTTCATAAAATGGTTAAATGCAACACACATAATTTATATAATTCCCTGTAGTTTGGAAGAACATATTATTTTGGGAAATACCAATCTCTAAAGAAAGCAGAGGCCTCAGTGGTTTAACCTATCAATTGATCATTCTTTAATACTACTTGTTTGTTTACCACAGTGACATGCATGACAAACCTGTCTCAAATGTCAAAGTACTAACATTTTACGGCGAATTTCACATACACCCCTAAGTTTGGATTACAATATCATTGAAACTCCTTTGAGTTTGGACAAATCTCACCCAAAATTATTAGTGAAATTTTGTGAGTAAGAGTGCTTCCTTTCTCCTCTCACGTATGTGTACTATTATTTTTTTTTTTTGTTATTAATTATTGTGTTGTTATTAATATGTTAGATGGATATGAATGTGGAGAATGTGGAACAATGCGGTGATTCTCTCACAATTGAAGAAGTGGCTGAAGTTACGAACGATGGAAAATTGTTATGGGATGAGTCACTCATTGAAAAATTCGTGAATATTATGGTGGAAGAAGTTAAGGCTAATAATCGTAGTGGCACAACATTTAGTAAAAGTGGTTGGAGTAATTTAGTCAAACAAATGAATGTTCATACGGGGAGAAAATTTGGTTTAACCCAACTTCGGAATAAGTTTAATGGTTTGAGGAAAATTTATACTGAGTTTAAGAAATTATTATCGGAGACTGGCGTGGGATATAACCATGAGACGGGCATGGTTATAGTTGAGGAAGAGAGATGGGACAGGTTGTGCAAGGTTAGTAATTTAATTATTAGTCATAAATAAATAATAAAATCTTGTATATTATTGGTTATGTGGTTAATATTGTAACAAAATTTGTAGGTTGTTACGAATGCAAATAAGTATAAAAAGTATGGATGTAAGCATTTTGACAAGATGTCGACTATATTTGGGGATACATATGCAAGAGGGATGCATGCCCACCCATCCACTACAGCACCACCCACAATCATTTTGCCCACTCCCAATGATGACGATGATGAGGAAGAGGGTTGTGAGGTCAGTCCCCCACCTTTACGTAAAGGTAAGAAAGCCAAAAGAGATGTTTTATCTCCTGGTATAGCTGCACTCTTGTCAAACATGAATAAGAATTCTGAGAGGAGAGCTGAGAGAATGGAAGCTGCAATAGAGAAAGCAGCTAAAGCATATTCTACTTCTACTCGTGTATCTTCATGTGAGAAATGAGATGATGAAGTTCTCTCTCCCTCAAAAAAGGATAGAGATTATGAAATGTTTAACGCCTCCATGCTCCTTTTACAAAAATTACCTGGAATTGAGATGGCCCAATTCGCTAAGGTATCGAAGTTATTACATGATTCTGAGAAGTGGCAGAAATTTTCTCTTTCGGCACCTGAGGATGTAAGAATTGGTTGGGCACTGAATGTTTGAGTTTTTCTTTATGGATGATTGTGTTTTGTGTCATCGTTTAACTTATTACTATCTCACATTTGGATGACTGTAATAACTTAAATACTTTTATTATCTCACATTTGGATGACTATAATAACTTAAATATTTTTATTATCTCACATCTGGATAACTGTAATAACTTAAATACTTTTATTATCTCACATTTGGATTACTGTAATAACTTAAATATTTTTATTATCTCACATCTGGATTGCTGTAATAACTTAAATACTTTTATTATCTCACATTTGGATGGCTATAATAACTTAAATACTTTTATTTCTTGGATGCCTGTTAGTACTCAAATACTTTAATACCATTATTTAAATGTTTGTTTTATTATTTAAATGTTTTGTTTATTATTTAATTGATTTGCTTATTAACTTAAATGTTTTGCTTGTATTAAATCTTTAAATAGGGCAATGGATGTGTCTTAATATTTGCTGCTCTTTTAGAAGAGCAGAACTTCTATCAAAAAAGGCGTTGTAGGGATTCCATTTTACAAGGGGAAACATATGTTATGGAAATTTTAAACGGCCATAGAGAAAGATGTTATGAAAATTTTAAGATGTACCCTGAAGTTTTTAGAATATTGTGTAGTACCCTGAAAGGTATAGGGCTGAAGGATTCTAAATTTTTAACTGTTTATGAACAAGTGGCAATCTTTTTGCTCACTTTATCTCATAATCAAAGGAATCGTGTTGTAGCAGAGAGATTTCAACACTCCACTGAAACCATTTCTAGACACTTCCATGTTGTGTTGCATGCAGTATGTCAGTTGGGCACCCATATCATTACCCCTCCTAATTTTTCTGTGATTCCGAATAAGATTAGAGAGTCTTCTAGGTTTTACCCTTACTTCAGGCATTGTGTGGGAGCTATAGATGGAACCCACATTCCTGTAACTCTGCCAGCAAGTACACAACTTCCATTTCGTGGTAGAAAGGGTTATACCACACAAAATGTAATGGCTGTATGTGACTTTGACATGAGGTTCACATATGTGCTAGCTGGGTGGGAAGGCTCAGCTAATGATTCGAGAATCCTAAATGAGTGTACTGAAAATGAGGCAATGAACTTTCTAGCTCCACCAGCAGGTAATATTTTTTTATAAATTCACTTAATATATGGTTAGTTTATCATACTGTATATATCTTTATGTATTCTAAACATGACAGGTAAGTATTATTTGGTGGACTCAGGGTATGCCAATAAGCCTGGTTATTTGGCCCCATTTCGAGGTCATACTTACCACTTTCAGGAATACCGTAGGACTAGACAACCTCGTGGTCGGGAGGAAGTGTTCAATCATAGGCATTCATCTTTGAGAGATATAATTGAGCGATGCTTTGGGTTATTGAAGATGAGATTCGCTATTTTGAGGGCAATGCCTCCTTATAAGTTTTCAACACAAGTATTGATTGTAATGGCTTGTTGCACATTACATAATTTTATCAAAAATCAGCATCAGCCTAATGACATATTTGATGGTAATGATCCTCCTCAAAGTGATGGTGAAGATGATGAGATTGTTGAGCATGTGCCTTCGGCTCAGCTTCGAGAAATGGATCAATTGCGTAATACTATTGCTGATCAGATTTGGAATTCTCTTCAGCACTCTTGATCCTTCTGAAGGTGATGGTATATTTTTTCTTTTATATGTAATATATTTGTTACTATTGTGAGCTTGCAATATATATATGTAATATAAATATTTTTTGCAGATATATAATTCAACTTAAATGCTATTATTGCAGATATGAAGTGTGTTGATGTTCTCTTGAAGGCCACATGTGCTGTTATGAAGATGATGTGTCGTTGCCATTGTTATCCACTTTATGAACTTCTTATTAATTTTTAGTGACAACTACTTATTGTTAATGCTTTGTTCCAAACGTTTTATGTACAACTTAAACGTGTTTAATTTGTTGGTTGAATATTTCAGGACTTGTAAATGTTATACACTCTATTTCAATTATGCTTTCAATTGAGTTTGTTTTTATTTTAATGTTGTGTTGGATTATACAGGTATCAAGATAATAAAATTGAAGCAGGTTATTGCAAAGAACTTGTAAATAGGTTATTGCAAATTTTTTTTACAAATGTTGACTCTCATGTAGTATAATAAAATATGACTAGAGATTATTTATTTTTAATATTGAGTTGGACTATACAGGTATAATGATAATAAAATTGAAGCAGGTTATTGCAAAGAACTTGTAAATAGGTTATTGCAAATTTTTTTACAAATGTTGACTCTCATGTAGTATAGTAAAATGTGACTAGAGATTATTTATTTTTAATATTGAATTGGACTATACAGGTATAATGATAATAAATTTGAAGTAGGTTATTGCAAATAACTTGCAAATAAGTTATTGCAAAAATTAATATATATATATATATATATATATATATATATATATATATATAATTTGGTGGGGGTTTACATTTTTTTACAAAAGAGAAGGCAAGAATCTGTATTTTGGAGTTAAATTCCCACCAGTGTAAACTTACAAGAGTCGAAAATTATTATCAGAGCTGTGTAGTATTTTTTTTTCTTCTTTCGCTAATGCGAAAAATGAGCAAAATGAATGAAATACAAACCTATGGACAATCATCACCAAAGGAACAAACTATATCAAGAAATTTCAAATAACTTGAAGTGTAGTTTCAGATCAAGATAACATGCAAAATGGTTGAAATTATTGGTTCAATTATTAGAACTAACATTCTACATTTTCGCTAAAGCAGTTGTTTCTGTAATTACATTTTGGTTATATATATATATATATATGTGTGTGTGTGTGTGTGTGTTCAAATTTCAATAAATTTATTAAAAATATATAGACTATTTATATAGAAATAAATTTATAAATAAATTTAAAATTTATAAAAATAAATTAAAAACAATGATAACCAAACATATTTTTTATTTCTGTTTTATTTTGTTTACAACAGTTGGAGTTACCAAACATGTTTCGTTTTTAAAATTCTTGAAACGCATGACTTACCAAACGTGTTTTGCATATTTTTGTTTCCAACATTTCTACAGCAAAACATCGTTCCCAAACGTGCTTCCGATTTTTGCCAAAACACTTTAATAGTAAAAACGTTATTTCTGTTTTAGCCAAAAACAAAACGCCTAAAGTAAAACGCATGCCAAACGGGCCCTAAGTAACTTTATTTTTATTTTTATGATACATAGGTTCATCACATGACACGAAATTGGAATATATACTGACACATCAAATTTTTAAAAAGGTTAAGACACAGCTAATGTAAATATAAGTTTTTATTTATATATCTACAGAGTTTTTAAGACAATTATAGATTAGATTTTTATAATTTCTGTAATAAAGTCTCATTAAGTTAGAAGTTGAAACTATTCAAATATAAAAATAATATATTTTATTATATAATTTATGTATGACATTACTCTCTTATTTTGTCTTATTTTGTCGTTTGTTTTTCTGTATAATATGTGACATGTGTTTAATATCAAATTCTTAAAAGAAAAAGAGGTTAGAATACTATGATATATGTTTATAAGCTTCCAATAGAACAATGTGTAGAGGAAGTGTGCAGGATGTATTGATCGAGTATTTAAGAATATATTTACCAAGTATTTAAGATGTGAAAGTCAAATGTCCGAAATAATAATTAAAAAAAAAAATTAAAATTAAGAATTGTCTAACACTATTTAGAAGTGTACCTTCACCTTTACTGGGTGCATGCCAAAAACAAAGACACAAACTTGGTGCTATTCCAGCGATGATATATATGACTCATTGCCTTCGTCACATGTTGAGATTTATTGTCTCTGCTATTTGTTAATTAATTTTTATAATTTTTTTTTTTGATAATCGGGGTGTCCGGACTTCTTCCCCTTCACTGTGCAAAATGATTCCTTCACAAAAGTCGCTTCTTGTGGGTAGTCAGAGCTTCCGAAGAGAGGAAGCTCCCGAGTAATTTCAAGAACACGTCGGTTTCGAAAGGTCTGGTCGTGAATTGGTGTCCTCAACTGGAGTTAAAACCCACGTCGATTGTCCTACAACTCGCCGATAGTGTAATGACAAGTTTTTTTTTTTTTTTCCATTTTTATAAATTTTCTTTTTCTGTTGATTTTTCCTTTTTTAAGTTCGGTTTTGTTTCTTATGTAAAATTCCCAAAATGCCCTTATGCTCAATTTTGACAAAAAATTCTGAAAAAATGAAAGTTGTTTCAAGTGTTGAAATGGTCAAATATGAAATTGTGGAGTAAAACTCAATACTATGTCTGCTGTTTAAATAGAATTTAATTTTCACTTCCTTTCTATATCTATTTTTCACAGATTCTCTTACTATCTATGTCCGGAAAGTATGGTTTCTTTCCGGACACAATCCATGCAAGTTTTTTTTTTTTTTTTTTTTTTTTTTTGTCATTCAAAGGCACAAAGGCCTAAAGGCCTAAAGCCAAGATAGCAATACAGAGCAGTACAGAGACATAAAGTCAAGGCAGAAAAGGCATACAAATCTTGAAACAAAACAAATAAATTAAGAACAGACGTTAGATTTGTGGAGGAAATAGAGCCCAACACTTTGCAAATGGAACCACCATGAAAGAACGCAGCAAACTGGAGAGACCAAAAGGACTGACTATCAATACGGCAACCGCTCTAAAACTACAACCACAAGGCTCTCCGACACATAAAACCCCACACAAGATCCAATCAAGGAGAAAAGATTAAATCTAGGAGGGGAAAACCCAAATCAGCCTAGATCAAAGATCTAGCCGGAGAAAAACAAAAGATTTACCCAGGCGAGCCGAAAACGAAACAAATAGATTTAGCCGAACAAAAATAAAAACTACGTAAAAAATATTCCCAAAGCACATTTATTTGAACACGCCGAATTTATTGTTATCGCAGGAGACAAGCTAGCAACTCCCCACTCCCATCAAATGGAGCAGGGAGTACAGAAGGAAGAAAACAAGGCTAGTTTAAAGAGAGAAAGGTAGAGAGAGGTGAGAGCGTTTTCTGTTCGGTGAATATTTTTCTGTAAGTTCTGTTTGGTTATATGAAAATATCAACAAAATAAAGAGAAATGGATTTTTAAATCAACTAGGCCACTAAGCAGGAGAAGTTACATTTATCCCTTGACTTCATCAACAAAGTGTCTGCGTAGACATGGCCTGTACATCCTACAATAATTGTGAAAGTGGCAATTCATTACAAATTAGATACTTCAAAATCTAATCGAGACAAGGCTGTCCTTGTCCTTAGTTCTAACTCGTTCTAGAATGAAAATGACTACATCCAATTGATACCACCAAAAAAGATGATGGTGACATTAATGACAAGGATGACAATGATATATGAAATTTCAACTGTGACACACATTCATAGCTTTCTTTTCTTTCCTCAAGAATATCCACAGACACTTCGTATTTCAACAATCATCAAAACACACACACAAACACACACAGAGATCATGGATACTAGACAGAGCAGTATCAGTGTCTTGATGTTACCATGGTTAGCCCATGGCCACATATCTCCCTTCCTTGAGCTAGCAAAAAGACTCGCAGACAGAAACTTCCACATATACTTTTGTTCAACGCCTATCAATCTCAGCTCCATCAGGAAAAGGCTTCCTGAAAAGTACTCTCACTTGATACAACTAGTAGAACTCCATCTTCCATCCATGCCTGAACTCCCTCCTCATTACCACACAACCAATGGCCTCCCAACCCATCTCATGCCCACCCTCAAAGATGCCTTTGAGATGGCTAGTCCTACCTTCTCCAACATCCTTCGGACCCTGAACCCGGACTTGGTCATATACGACTACAATCAACAATGGGCACCGGCCATCTCTTCGTCGCTTGATATTCCTGCCGTTCAGTTCCAACCTACCGGAGCAGTGATGGCTTCTTTAGCCTTTCACATGCTCGATAAACGAGGAGAAAACTACCCATTTCCAGAAATACCTCTTAGAAACTTCGAGAGTCTAAAGCCTCGCCAATCCCCTGAGTCCTCCGAAAATGATTCCAAAGAAATAGATCGATTCCTTGAAGCCACCAAACGATCTTGTAACATTATTCTGATCAAGACTTTTACGGAGATTGAGGGAAAATATATAGAATATCTCTCCAAATTAACCGGGAAGAAGACGGTCCCCGTCGGTCCACTTGTTGAAGAACCTGTCAACGAAAACGAGCATACAGAGATCATCCAGTGGCTTGACATGAAAGAAGAGTCTTCTGCTGTGTTTGTTTCGTTTGGCAGTGAGTGTTTTGTGTCCAAGGAGGAGATGGAAGAGGTAGCCCGTGGGGTAGAGCTCAGCAAGGTGAACTTCATATGGGTTGTTAGGTTTCCTGTGGGAGAGAAAATTAGGGTTGAAGAGGCACTACCTGAGGGGTTCCTTGAGAGGGTACGGGGGAGAGGAATGGTTGTTGAGGGATGGGCCCCGCAGTTGAAAATTCTGCGACATTCGAGCACTGGCGGCTTTGTGAGTCACTGTGGATGGGGTTCTGTAATGGAAAGCATGAAGTATGGTGTTCCAATCATAGGCATGCCCTTGCATATTGGCCAGCCTCTGAATTCTAGACTAATGGAAGAGGTTGGTGTTGGTGTGGAGGTCA